CTAAACAGCACAGCCCACAAAACCACCAGATGTTCATAGGAATTAACCTACTGAGCCAAGGCAACCTCTCCTGCAAGTTTTTGCCATGTTTCCCAGCTGTTTCAATACCAAGCAACCCTTGCAAAGTACAGAAGCCAATCAAGGCTACATCAACCTGAGGAAAACAAGAGCTGCCACATTTAGAACCCTCTGTGTGAAACAGTGCAAGATAAACCAGGCCATCCATGGCTGATCCATGCAAGAAGTCTCGAACCAAGCTAAAAGCATGACAATTTAAAGGCAACAACAACAAAAATCCAGTCCCCCCATCCAAAGCTTACTTCTCCAGTTTTTAAGCTCACTGAAGACAGCTGACAAATGCTTATTTTCTTCAACACATTTCCAGATTTTTTCCTTCAGCTTTGGGCGCTGTATTTGTAGTGCTTTCAGCAGTGGTCTCACAGCTCATCGCTCTCAGACTCAGATTCACTTTTTGCCCTTGGAGGGCAGTTGGACACTGTAGGTCAGGTGTGAGTCTACTGAAACATGGAAACTGGCTCAGAGCTGGCAGCCCATTTGCACCCACTGAAGACAACAAAACTTGCCTTATAATAAGATGTTAAAGAATAAGCACCATTAGAGATGTTCTCATCGATGGGGTTTCAGATATTATTTGGCTGCTGTTTCAAAGCGAACTTTCTGAAAGCTGGTTTATTAAATATTAGGACAAATCCTAAGCAGCCTTTTTTATTATGATTATGTATCTCAACAGACCTGCATCTCTGGGCTAGGGGATGAAAGCAACGTCAGGCACTTCATTTCTGCAAAGCGCTTCCTTCCTCACATGAAAGACACTTTGTCAAACAAACTAACTTCAAGTCTTTGACTTCAGGTAACTGTCGTTCATCAAAAAAAAGAAATCATCCACTGACTTCAGAGCAGCCCTAGTGAATGTGGGCTTCAGGATGTCACCTTTCTGGAATAGTTTTTAAAAACAGAGCCAGCTCCTGAGAGGCAGCAAATACCTACAGCTGATTTCTAAGAGCTTTGCAGGACCTTTGCTGTTTCTGGGGTCTAGCCTGTGGACAACAGGATTAGGAACAGCCCTTTTGTTAAGATGGCCGAGTCTTGCCTCAAGCATGTATGTGTGTGAACTCCAACACCTCTATTTCTTATGAACATTAAAAAAATGAAGCCCTTAAATAGCATCCTGCACACCTGAGTCCCTGTGGGCTTAGCGGCAATCTGCAATAGCAGAACCTTCCCCTGATGTGGGGCAGGTCTGGGACGAAGAAGAGGTGCCCATTCTTTCTTCTCACCATACCAACTTACTGCAGTACAAAACAAGGGTTTTTTTCTTCCTTTTAACCTCCACAAGGCAGCACATCATGTCCCCCAAAGCCACCAGCAGACCACACTGCACCCAGAACACATACAAGCACTCGGTACGGAGCTGGAGGCTCAGTGTCAAAAGCAGCACGTGGACGTTCAGCAAGCAGCTCGCACTGTGCCAACAGCAGGCTGGCTACTAAGCTCCCACACCTCTTTAAGAATGTTTCCTCTGTCTTTTAACAGACGTTTGCACAAATCTACTCGGAAACTGAGTCCAGGCAAGCAAAGCTTTAGCTGGGAAAAAGTCTTTGCCGCTACAAAACTGGCCCTGCTCCAGGATGGAGAGCATCTGGCTGCCAGCTGTGCTAAGAGGACAGCAGGCTTAAGGAACAGAGCAGGGAAAAATTGAGAAAAGAGCAGACAGTGCTGAAATCTGTCCTGAAAAGAATACCAGCCTTTCTCTCTGATGTCCAAAACCTTTGCCCTCATGCATTCCCCATCCTTTTCCCAGCTCTGAAGCTTGCTCTTGGGAAATCGCCCATTCGGGAGAACGCAGCTAGCATCTCTGGGCTTGGGAAGGGGTCCAGTGGGGCTCCAGAGTTACAAATTGGGGAGTCTGGAAGCTGGCAGCACATGAGGCATAGTGGAAACGAGAGGAAGTTCTGGAAGCAAAGGGAGACAGAGGGAAAGATCTGCAGTGAGGCAAGGATAGGATGACTGCAAGCCTCAAAGAATACAGCATGGGGCTTGTATAAAAAAGGCACATGGAAAGAACAAAAGCAGCCCTTCACCCTCTGCAGTCTAGGAAATTATTATTAAAAAAGAAAAGGAAAAAAAAATCACACGTTTTTCTAAGGATTTTGTTGTGTTTTTTTTCCATTTTACCTAGAGCAGCTGGAGAAGATTCGAGGCCGTATTTTCCCCTCAAAATTTGGAAATTATAGCAACTTGTGCAAAGACTAAAGAAGCAGAAGGCTATTTATTTTCTAAAGTGGTGACACCATCTCTCTAAAAATTCCTAATAAAATGCTCTGATGGAAAGAGCCGTATCTGATAGGGATGGTGGTCACAGGCACCCACTGAAACTCACACTGCTTTTTAGATTACATTTGCAATAGAGCCCTTCCCCCAGCCCCAGATTAATGGAATGGGGAATCCATGCATGAAACCACATATCACAAAACCAGGAGATTATGAAACAGGCCGGGAGACGGGATTGGAATTGAAATTGATGAACTGGGGAAACTGCCCCAATTAAACCAGAACAAATTTAATAAAGACAAGCTGAAAGTGTTAAAACTTGGGAAGGTGGAGTAAACAAACACGCACCTAAAAAAGGGAGCTCCTGGGACAGCAGCTGTAAGTCACTCAGGAATTGTAATGCAAGGTGGATGAAAATCAGCCACGGGATGTGGAAAATATTCTGGGATATATGCTCTATGTAAAACTCATGAGACAGTTTCTGAGCCTTGCTTGTTGCTGTATAAATCCCCCACAGGAGCAGAACATTCTGGGAAGCTGGGAAGACATGAGGGGAAAGACAGCAAAAATCAGAGGCTTAGAAAATATTACCTGAAAGGACTAAGGAAGACTTGAAGTGAGGGAGGTATGATAATTCCTTTCATACGCAGAATAGTTTTGTAAAAAGGCCATGGATCATCTGTTCTTGCTCTTGATTGAGGCTGGAAGAAAAGGCGTTTTGATTTGCAGCAAAGAATTTCTGAACAGTCTGTATCAGAAACCTTTCTGATGATGGGTTTGGTGGAGATGGTGGATCGTGCAACAGCTCTGAATGACAGGTCACTGGGGTCCTTTGCTCCTACTGTTTGCTAAAGATCAGCAAAGCAGATCTGGTGGTGGCAGCGGGTGCCACGCTTTCTGTCAAACCCCAGACGCAGAGGAGCACAGGGACACAGCAACATGTGGACCAGCAGTGCTGCACACAGACACTGCAGTGTGAGCCTGGAGATGGGCACTCTGCTGCTACAGGAAAACCTCTTATTTTCCCCTGGAGGACCCAAACATGATGTCCATGAAGTTCATGTATAGGCACCAAAGAACATAGTAAGTCCTTCATCTCTGCAATAAAAACCAGTGAATGTTACCACAGATAGTCTCGATTCAACTTATCAGGAGAACAACTAGCACAGTTATCAGTATTTCCCTCCCACTAAGTCCAAGGCAGGTTCCTACTCATGCTCAAAAACCATCACCTTCAAGGAGAAGGTATGCACACAGGACTCTGTCCCCTTACCAAACACTATGAATATTTGAGCAGGAAACAGAGGCACAGCACTTCTGGCTGCCATTATAACATCCAACACCAGACTGCCTATCAAAAGGTAAGGTACACCTATGTGCTTGTTTCCCAGAAAAAGGTACCCTGCCTACAGACGTATGTGTGTGCAACTCTTGATGACTTCATTGGACACTACACATGTACCCAAGGGAAAAAATTTAGTATCATGCTTATTGTCTGAAAAACTTTCCTACTTTAAAGCATGAAGCTGCGGGATGAGGTCTGCTCCTGCCTTGCTATCGTTAGCACAAGGGATGGCTTTCCTTGGATGAGGAGGCACAGTGAATGACAACAAGCACCCTGCATGTTGTTGCTCCATCAGCCACAGTCATGCTTCTCCACTATCACAACCTTCACAAAAAGCTGTCGTTACCTGAACGTTCTCAACAACATCCTGTGTGAACATTTGCTAGGCAGGAAAACAAAAGGTCTAACTGGCTGACATGCCGTGTCTCTAAGACATTAGCATCAGTTCAGACATTTTTGTACTTTCTTGCAGAAACTGTACAGGCATTAAAAGACCAAGCACACGGGATGCTCAACACCTCAAGGCATAAAACAGCTTCCTACCATGTGGATAACTAAAGCTGAATCTGTGTTCTCTGAGCATGCCCAAAACCATCAACAAGGAAGAGCCCCCCACGTAGATACTTCCACAGAAGAACAAGAGGCTACCACGCACCATCAAAATAAAATTTCTAGAGTCTATGAGCTGGGCACAGTTTCTGAACAGCATGCTAGAAAATAAATACATTAATGTCACTTTGCCACGGAAAAGGCAATATCTCTGCTTGCATCTTGCTGTGGTCTTCTCTGTGTTTTAAGTCAAAAGATTCGTGAAAAGCATTATTCAAAGACAGAGCATCAGGAATGTTGTGGCACAGAGCAGATCTGTCTTGCTAACAACAGGTTGCAAAACAAATGAAGTTTGGACATTAAATCGCACCCTCCATCCCACTTCACCCAAGCCCTGCATTGTAGATAACCTATACATTCTCAGGATACAGTGAGAAATCATTCTATAGTACATATTTAATTATAATTTAAAAAAGTCTAAACTCGGACACAATCTCTGATCAGTAGCAAAGTATCGACACATCACTAGAAGAAAGATCTGTTATTATCCCTTCACTGTAACAAACAGAAATCAGCATCTCGAGAAGGTCTCTGGGGGTATCATATCACAACCAACTGCACTGAGTAAAATAATATGCTGATTTTACAAATGGAGTTTGACAAGAAGTAACATTGCATTTGTCTTGGCAAAACGAAGCACGAACAAAACATTTCACAGGTACAGTCACCATGCAAATGCATGTTGAGTTTGCCATTGCTTTTAACCCCAAATCACAAGAAGCATGCAGTTTTCCTGCCCCCCCCCCCCCCCCCCCCGACTACTGTATTAGAGATATCCTGGGTAATGCACCTCTTTGGTGTAACCATAGCCTGTAGGCAAGATTATACCACTTTAGGAAAGAATACAAGCAAAACTCGATCATATGTGTGTTTACACAATGTACATTTTAACCATTTAAAAAACAAAACATGTTACATAGATTCTCAAACACAACTGTTGAAAATGAAATTTTAAGCTTAAGAAATAGTTTTTAAACTACAAGGCCACCCCATTATTTTTATGAACAATTTAAAAAGATCCCACCCCTAAAAATCTGCCAGTATGTATATTTCCTCAGTTGTAACAGTCTTACCCACTCTCTTAACACAATCCATCTTTGCTCAACAGCAACAACAGTTCCTACATTTTTTAAGTGTATAATGGACTCCGGGATAGATATAGTTCTTAAATGTGAAACGATGGAACATTTGCCTTAAATGTGTAATTGGTCAATTCAGGTGTTCCATGGCACCACCGCTCAGGCAGGGGCTGCTGCTGTTCACTGATGTGAGTTCTGGCTTTTGTTGGCATCTAGCTCCACGACTACACTTTCGTGTTCAGAATTTGGGTACAACACCGATGCACTGGACGCTCTGGTAGGCCTGTTGCTCAGATGCATACAGGAGCTATGTTTTCCATATTCCCTCATCCAAATGAGGCGGAAGCCTCAGCGCAGCACCTTTGGCCAACACGGAACTATTTGGATGTGAAGTAGAATCTATTTTGTGTGTATTCATTTAAGCAACTGCAACAGGAGACTTAACTTGCAGGGTCTTTATTAGAGCGTTACCGTCTTCCTCAGCTTTATACAATGGAGCCCTTTGAAGAAGATAAATGGATTGACTGAATCCTTGTGGCCAACGTCCTCTGTAAGTCCTGTAGTACATTCTGACCAGACGTTTCTCCGTTCTTGTCATACAACAGCTGCTTGAAAGCTTCGTTTTCAATGAGGACCATCATATTTTTTAGAAAGTAGCCTTCGCAATAGGAAGATAGTTCTGTGACTCCGAGAAACTACAAGAAGTGAAATTGGAGAAAGATAACCATTCTGATAAAACCTCATCAGCAAGAACAGTGCTAAGATCTGTACATAAACAAATGCACAAGCTGAGCCTTTCACACTGTAAGTTAACACTTACAGATAAGCATGTTGCAGGGGCACAAGTTAATCAAACAGTATTTTATACCAACGATTTTATACCAGTGGTTACAAATTCAGTGCTCAGAAGATGAAGCTTTGGTCCCTTAGAAATAGCTGTGAGTTTTACCACTGAGTTCACCAGACCCATGATTTCATGCCAGTAGCCACATCCTAAGCCCATAAGTTTAGGAAGAACTACAAGCGACCTTCGAGTTTCGTGAATTCCATCCTTAGCAAGAGTAGGATTCTTGGCTGCAGAAGCCTGTTGTGCAAAGTAACAGCTTTGGGGGATCTCTGGAGGAGTAATGGAGGCTAAGTGTGAGCAACCCTTGGATGTGTGAGCTCAACTGTGTGAGCAAACCACAATGACCCATACTGGCCATTTGATGGGTGATTCATAGTGGTCATCACCCACTGGTTAGTTCCTGCAGTCACGCAAGCACTACAGCCATGATACATAGGAATTTAAGCTATGTGAGTGTACAGAGCACAGCTCAGCACATCCTCCTGCGCAGGTAAGCTCCTGCTGAGTCTGAGCTCTGAGAAAAGCATGAATCTTTGGCTCTGGGGTGCATCTGTGAGGCTAGGACTGCCGGGAAATTTCATAGCTTTGGGTCCAGACTGTAACAACTGCACAGCACTGTTATCCTACACCACCTTAACGTTATGTGTGGAGCTAAGAGTGGAAACTGTTAAAAAATGAGAGAAAGAACATATATTAGGACAAGGCAGGTTCTATCTTCCAGAGGAAATTTCAATTTGAAACCATGCAGGTTTTCAACAAATTATGAGTGCATTACTTTGCACGTGGGTGTGATAGCACGTTTGAATCTCTATTCTTCTCTGAAACGCCATTTATCTCTATTCACTATTTTATTATACCCACAGTATTGAGTAAATGCTGTATTTTTCTTTTCTTTTCTTTCTTTCTTTCTTTTTTTTTTTTTGGTCAGCCTTGTTCTAAGGCTCAGCTTGCAAGCTGTGCAAGCACTGAGTGTTTTAGACAAATACTTGACACTCCAATTGATTTTTCTGAGACTTTAAGTAAAAAACAACTGGTTTCTGGTGGTAACTGATCAGTCACCATTATAAGTCCTATTTGCCTGGTGACTACATCTTTTTCTGGAGGTAATGTGTAAATGAAGCCCTGAAAGTGATGCTGATCAAAAAACTGCCTTCGTAGATGTTGCAATACTATGAACAGAAAATCACAGACGATTTAATATTTTCCATTCCATTTTTAAATTGCAAGTGAGACAAAATCCACATTCTCTCACATTTCTAGCAGTACTTCACCTCCTTAACCCAAGGCCCTAAACTCTCATTCCTACATCTCTTCACACTGATAAACACTCCTCTCCTATAACATATGCCCCTACCACAGACAGTGTTCCAAATCTGTTCTCTCTTCGTCCTATGCTTCCACCAAATTAGGTCTTAATTGTGATGAGAAAGACTGTGTTCCCTGTGTCCAGGTCACCTTGCTTGCACATTTTCACCTGGAAAAGCAGATCTCAGCATCTCCTGACTTCCTGCAGGTGCATCTGATCTTGCAAAGTAACGAGGACTACAAACTGTACCTATGAAATGGAAAGGCAGACAGTGTGCTGGCAAGTGTGTCTGAACTGTCTGTGAGCTCCCCTGCTTCATGAGGACATCTGGCCTCTTCTGCCATGTGCCATTCACATAAACAAGTAATGAAGCTGCAGTGTGGTGGGAGCATTCTGAGCAGAACGAACTGGGCTCAGCTTAGTAAGCTGCACAACACACAGACCAGAAGCAAAAAGATGGAGTAGTCTACTCTTCAAACAGCACGGAGGAGAAGTATTTGAACTAGCTTTAAATGTGTTAGTTCATGTTCTGAAAACCTTCTAGGTATAGAAGTATGAAGCTTAGCCCTGGTTATTTACTGGAAGCAGGGTCAATTAGAGGAGCTCTGAAGTGATGTAGATTAACCAATTCCAGAAGTCAGGATTTCACTCACAGCTAGCTTAGCTATCTCTGTAATGTGCTACATGTCAAGGCAAACATGACCCTGGCCTTAAAAACCTCTCAAGTAAACCATTTGCACTGACTCTACTGAGAGATAAAGGCACAGGAAACTTGCAGGCTGAAGCCCTTATTGGAAAACAGGAACCAGATTTAGCCACTGGAACACTGGATTTCTTCAGGGCCAGCACTGGCAGCGTAGAAGTCCCTCAGACAAGTCTAAAGCTTGGTATAAGAACATTCTTCAATCAGGATACAACCATATTTCACAACCCAAAGAAAGCATTTTTAAAACAAAATTGTTCCATTTACTTTTGATAATAGCAATATAAATTGAGAAGTTCCCTCATGACCTTGAAGATAAATGAAGAATTTTTTGAGAGTACTGCACTGGTGATTTTATTTCCTATTACAATAAGTGGTCCTGCAAATACACGTCATTTTTTATTCATTTTAAGTGGAACTTTATGCTGTTTCCAACACTGATTGCATGGTATCTGTACATCGAGATCTAATGTTACTACTCAATGTAGGAAATAGCTGACTGGAATGGAGGTCAGATTTGCAGAGGCTTGGAGCAATCTGCAGGATTACTGTGTTCAGTCAAACCTCACTACCACACTACAAACATTTTCATGTAGTCCATGTGAGGAAAATCATTCAAGGATTGTTTTAAAATTATTTATTGCAACTATTTTTGTATCATTTCCATCTTCCAAAACTTACTACTTAGTAAATGAGGGGAAAAACTGAAACTCGTCCACGTGGCTATTCTAGGTCAAAACATGCCACACTTTTATGCCTAATGGCCTCCACACAAGCTAAATAAATGATTTAATTCCAGTCCCCTCTCCAAGACATAAAATTCTCACTACTGTGCTTGCATGGCTGTGATACACTACACTTTGACAATGTGGCGTTTTCATATATTGAAAAGCTGTCGCCAGCACTGTGGGGTTTAGGCAGGAGGCAACAGGAACTTTAAGAGGAAAATGCAGCCTGGAAGGTGAAAAAGAGATATCTTATTCAGTTAGGTGATTCCTGTTGAGTAACTTAGCAATTTGGATCGCTGTGGTAAGATACAGACCTGCCAGTAGAGTCTGAACCATTGGAGGATAGTAGGAGGGTGAGAAGTTGCCAAGACATTCTTAGACATGATTAGGGACTGTCACTCTCCCAGTACCTTTTTACAGTCCCAGTACATGAATGACAAATGCTAAATATGCAACAAACATAGTAAGCACATGACATATGCATTACTACTTATACTACGAGCATGAGGACAGACCAAGTAACATGCATGTGTGGTCATTTTTACCTTGGCATGATTATAAATATCCACGCAGTTTTCTGTATTAATGCTTTTTGCACAAATGATCTCACAGTGTCGTTGTAAAGCTTCAAGCTGGAAAAATTTAGCAGCAGAGAGAAGCTAAAAAAATAGGAAAGAAAGAATAGTCAAAACTGCTGAGCAATACACATTCAGAGCTTGATTCTTTACTGCTTCATTATAGTTTTTCTCTGCCCCTGCTTCAGTCTGAGTTAAAGCACTGACCCCTGACAGTCAGTCAGAATGAGAAAGTTGCTGTAGTCTCCTCTAGATCCCGCAGTGAGAAGGTGGACATAGAGGGACCACCACAGCCTGTTCAGGTCCATATGCTGGCCTTGGGACAGGGATTTGTGTGTGTGTCAAGAAGAGGCAGATTGGAGGGTCCTTGTCACTCTGCAAACGTGCAAATAGGGATCTGCAGCTACATTCCAAGAAAGGAAGGCTTGGATTCAACTGTTCCTCAAGATCTGGCTGAAACTGAACACCTGGGTTTGATGTGAGGATGTCAGCAGAAGGGCCAGGACCATGAGAATAGAAGAATTCAAACCAGATGACAATAACCACCCTAGGTAGTCTTAAAAACCTAGAGAGGCAATAAACTTCAAACTTCTCACCTCAGAAGGCTCAGGGAAACGGAGTCAGGTCTCCACATGCTCCTTGCTCTATCTCACCAGCAGCAGTAAGGTTATGTCTAGGCCAGGGGTTTGAAATGCTACCTGGCTCCAAATGACTGAGAACCAGCTTGATGTGAGGCCACCACTAACATGAGGGTTGTGCATCCGTAACACTACACTCTTGTGCCATCAGGACTCACACTGACCTTTCTCTTTGGTCCCATGCCCACCCAGGGTAGGCAGCCTGGACTGGCACTGCTCTGGAGATCTCTGCATGGCACAGTGAACATAACCTGAAGCCTGCAGCATGAAAACCTGGCTTAAATTGTGCCTTCTCCAGCTGATTTCCATTGGATTGCCCCTAATGCTCCTTTTCTGTCCTCTTACAGCTGGGGGAGTGAGCTTCATTTTCTGCAGTCCTCATTGTTTCTGGCTCTCTGCTCTGGTTTAGAAAGCAGACTGAGGTTCTTCACTGCTTTACACCTTGCTCTAACCCAGGAAGGTCCTTTCAGGCTGAGCTGGTCACAGGTTCTGGTGTTTATAAGGGCTTTACCAACACAGACCTCAGGACAGTCTTCTCATGATTCCCAGAATGGCCCTTATGCTTCTAGCTAGGAGCGCTGGGGAACAAAACCCTCAAACTGCCATAACATTATTCTTACTTCCCCTATGCAGTCCATTCAAGTTCTGCTTTAGTCCCATAAATAAATCCAAGTGCTGGAAATCTGCAGTGCTGATGTGATAGCAGCCAGCTGGCCTCAATTATGAATTGCAGCAAAGATTTCTTTGGAGTATTTCTGGTGCTTCTTGTTATCATATTTGTAATAAGGCAAGTTGCTAAATGCAGTTTTGAAAGATAAAGCTAAATCCTATTCCAGCTGCTTCTGTGGCTCAAGCAGTCACGTGCTGGTTTGTAATTACTTTAAACTGTGAGGAACCGTAGCCAGATCTGTTATCAACAGATCAATCAATCAGCCATACATTCTGGAGTCACAGAAGTTTTGAGATGCAGAAAAGTAGAGCAAGCAGCCAGCTGAACTGCAGCACCAACTTTTTAACAACCTAGGTGATTATGTATGCATCACTACAAAGCCATTGCGCTTTTTAGTCTGAAACTCTCCTTATTTCAGAAAGGGCCAGGAATTTAAGGAGCTGTTTCAAATCTGTGAATGAGAGAATCAGTGACCTTTTCCTGTACAACTCAGAAAGTCAGAGTGGGTCCACCATCTGCAGTGCACAGGGATGATCTCAGTCCTGACTAGTTTCATCCTCTGGTTGCCAGCAAGATTCATATATGGATGTCCCTGTATCCATCATAACTGCTTCGTTTCGGCCACTTTGTACCCCAAAGAAAAACAGTTCCCAATATACAGTTAGCGGTATTTTGGTAAGAGTCAAACCCCACATCAGTGCTCTGGACAGCAGTGTCATAGAGAGCTCTGGGGCTCTTCAGCCTGGAGAAGAAAAGGCTCTGGGGAGACCTTATAGTGGCCATCTACTACCTAAAGGAGACCTACAGGAAAGCTGGGGAGGAACTTTTTGTAGGGCATATAGTGACTGGATGAAGGGAAATAGTTTTAAACTGGAAGAAGGCAGATTTAGACTAGGTATTAGGAAGAAATTCTTTACTGTGAGGGTGGTAAGATACTGGAACAGACTGCCCACCAAGGTTGTGGATACCCCCACCCTTAAGGCATTCAAGACCAGGCTGGATGGGGCTTTGAGCAGCCTGGTCTAGTGGGAAGTTTCTCTGCTGACAGTGGGGGGGTTGAACTAGAAGATCTTAAAGGTCCCTTCCAACCCAAACTATTCTATCACTCTGTGATAGGGACAGATTAACTCATGTAGGCAATAATAAAAGATCATAGGGGCAGTAGCTCTTATTTTAGCCCTTATTGTCCTGTATCCCTTTTGGCTGCCATTAGTTAATTGTCAACAGGAAAGCTCCTGAGTGACTACCACAGATTTGCTCTAATCTATCTTAGTTCTGTTGAATTGGAATTGTTAAGTGGATCAGAGATGGTAATGACAGCATAGAGTATCCGGAAGAGAAGGATCTAACATCCATAGAGGTTATGGACATGTGATTATGCTGAAGTTCCAATCAGTTCCAGAGGGCTTGGTGTGGGTACTGCAAATGGGCACAATGGCAATGGACTTTAACACACAGTAAGAAAGTAGCAAATAATTATCTCTGGAAGAAAGATATGAACACATAAGCCTGGGCTAATAAGCCAAAAGTAAGAGTGTTGTAGAGAAGCTCACTGGCCCAACTCAACAGAGCACCTCGCCTACAGGCTGAGACAGAAAAGACAATGTATTATGCTGCTGGGAGCTGTTTCCAGATTTGCTGCTGAGAATTGTTTCCAGATACTGGTAACACCTGCTTTGCATTTCCTTGAAAGAGCCTCACAAATCATCTCAGTAGATATTTTTATTTCAGACAAACTATTTTGTTTGGTGATCTATATTTTTCTACCTGGGCACTCTGGGCACTCAGCGGGAGGCAGTGATGTCTCTCACAGGAGTGCTCATGTCTTGCCCAGTTGTCAGGTACCCTTGGGTAAACAGTAAACAGATCATTTAGCATTGTTCTCCCTGAAATTAACCTTAATGTATCTTACCTCCATAATTTCATTGTTTTTAATCAAGAGTGACTCTGCACCTCCATAATAAAGATACTGCATAACCAACTGTAACAAAACAAAGGCAGTGTTTATAAAAAACAGTCAACGACAAAGCAAGAAAGGAATGATGTAGAGATTGCAGATAACACCAGAGGCTCTCCAACATCACTAAGGATACGTAAATAAAACTGGCCAAATCCTCCTAATTTCAACATACATTTAGTTATTCTCTCTCTCTCCCTGCACAGTTCAACAGTTCTTTCTCGTGGGTATTCTTAACCCTTGCCAGCCATGTTGTGCATGCTTTTTCTTGAAGCCTAAACACTGTGCAGAAAGCTGGTTAATTCATTCTGAGTTTTCAACGTCTTTTCCAATGTGTACAGTGCATCATTTATTCAGGATAATAAAGCATATATAACGATTATTCCTTTATTCCCCCGTGGCAATGGGACCAACACCTCCACTCAGCTGTGTGAGGGCACGCATGGGTGACAATAAATAATTGTGGAGGCTTTGCACTGCAATACGAGCCAACTAAGATCTCTCCGCAGTGAGCTTCCAGCAGGTTTAAAGTCACTGCAGTGAGCTGGGAAATATCTTCATCTGTAACAGCTGATACATGGAACTGCCTGGGCTCTGACTCAAGGGAAGTGAAGCATATACAAGTATATGCTACAGAAAATACTCTGTATTTTCGTGGCAAAAAAATTGATTGAACAACATTGCTGAAGAAGCAAATGAACTGTGCCTGGAAGCCTGTCCATTAAATACAGAAAAAGTCAGCGAGAGAAAAAAGAACCAAGTACTTCCCGATGACAAGCTCTGCTTTATCTGCATACCCTGTGTAAGTGAAATGTATGCTATTGAATCTGGTTGGGCATGACATTTGCTATCAATAGCACTATGCAGCTTAGTGTATGCAAGGAGATGGATTCTGTGCTCATGAAACTACTACTCTGAGCTATATGCTTATCAAACATACTTGTATTAGTTCAGACAGGGGACGTACAATGTTTCTATGTTCCATTCAAATTCAATGTGAGAACTGATTTTACCTGAAAGATGGGGTACTTCACATAGTTGATCTCAATACAAGTACTATCAGTTGAGGGCTTGCTAGACAGCAATGCTTTAAACCTAAATAGAAAGGAGCAAGATTGAAATACCAGCCCAATTATCTATGTGGAAAACTATGGCAGAGTGGAAGGACAGCATCAGCTCTTGCAAAAACAGTACACTGAAATGAATGGATTTGTCACTGAAATGCATCAGGATTCAGACAGTTACACAAAATAAAGTTCAAATTGAAAGGAAGAAGCCTCTCTTTTAGGAGATTTCAATTTGAAATTTTGGAAAAATACTTCTGATACCACAATAGAAAAAATGCATACAGGAGATTTAGATACCGGAAAGATGCATATCACAAAATCAAACTTCTTGTTTTCTTTTCTTTTTTTTTTTGCTTGAAGGAAACATGGTTGTTTAGGAAGTTGCAAATTTAAAACTGTGCACTTACTTTATTTGAAGATCATTTTTAGCCTATTTATATTATGCTGCTGCAAAAATGTTTTGAACAAAACATTAAAACAACTACATTAAGATTACTGCTTCTACACAGGCTTGATACAATTGTGTAAGAAGTGGTAAGAGAGAAAACTAGGTATGCTACTTTTTCTGATTATCAAAACCTGAAATTCAGACATAGGTTTCAAGATAAAAACACTTCTAAAGTTAATTATTGCTAGATATTCTCATTTGATTAGAAGGTGAGTGCACCATCAGAAACATCTGCTCTTGTACCTTCTCTTGTCAATAATTCATCTGACCTTCTAGAGGCAGTGCAAAGTTTAGTTTATCTATCAAGACCAGCATTTGCTGGATAATAACCTCTTCCATACTATCACTGCATTTTAATTAAAATATGGATAACAACTGATTCGATCTTATTAGTGACAAACTCTATTTTGAAGGCAATTTAATAAGCTAAGAGCTAAAGTTCAGATTGTGCTTGCACATCTTTAATCATAAAGTTGTGTACAAATACCATTTGTGATCAATGTGAAAAAGGAATACTCTTGAAGGCTGAGATGAGTGACCCACATCCAGCCTTCTGAGCACGGGGAGGAAAATGTAAGTACTGCCTTTTGGTACAGCATGACATGTTTTATATGCATCTAATTTTATTTAAAAAAATGTAAAATCCCCAGTGAATCAAGTGATAGTAACTTGTTTCTCCTAGAGATTGTGTACATGGATGCAAGACAAGATTTAGCTGCTCATGGAATAAATGACTATTAAGAAGCAAACTATTAAGACTGCTCTATGTTTAAGGGCTGGATAAAGTGATGAGCTCCATGCAAATGTGCCTTGGTAGAATGAAGTCAGCTGCATGGCGAGAAGCGTGGAGCATTTACAGGGTAGGAATCTAGTGATGGAAGCACTTGTTATTTCCCTGCAGATCAATCAGAAATAGGCTGCTGAGATTTGCTGCTTAGGAAAAACTTGAAGATTGAGCCATTAACCCTCAAAGAATCTTAACAACACTAACGAAAATACAAGAACACAAAATCAATTTCTATTTTTGCTAAGAAAAGGAAATGTCTCTACATCTTACCGTGGTGATGCAGTAAATAGCAGCACTCTATGTGCATAAAATGGTCTTCCTTCCACCAGAAATGTAACATCTGACATCTCTTTGTTGTTAAGAAAATGGGGATCTAGAATTACAGAAAGGAAAAAAAAAGAAACACACCACCAATAAATTTGGTTTGGAAGAGTTCATGAATGTACATAATATTTTCCTGTTTTGACAAAAGAAGACAATGGTGTAAAAGGATATTGTTTATAATGAGTAAAGCCCATCAAGCTATTTTGGACAGTCTGAGACAGGAGACCTACAGTCAGGCATATGGAGTTCAGACTGAGGAAATTCAAAGTTTTGAAATCTGTGTCATCTTTGCTGAGATGATGGCCAGCCAGTCCTGCCACAGGGAGCTGGCACAGCTTCCCAGCTCTGTTCCCCAAAGCAAACTGCAGAGAAATACCCTCAGACCATACCCTCACCCTCTCCCAGGGCAGGCAAGACTTTGTGCCAAGGGGAAAAGCATCCTGGAAATTGGCTCACTTCTTCTCTAGGTCACAGTAAACCAACTTGGCCTCTGCCAGCAGGGCTGGGAGTGCCATGCCACCACAATGTCACCCACAGCCAACCGCATGGTTTGAGATATGGACAGACATTTGGCTTCAGGCCCTAGGCTGTGATTTCAGCCTCATTAGCAACTCAGATCTTTGCAGGTTTACAGTCCCACTCCAGTATCTGATGGTCCTACAGATTTCAGTGGGAATTTAGGACAGGCTAAGCTCAGGGCCTCTCATTTTTCTAGTCCTGCCTTCTGAGTTCACATTTTCTCTGACTTGCACGCTCAGCCTGCAATGCGGATTTCCCACAGCTCTCCTTAGAGAACCAAAGAACCATCTTCAGGTCATGCTTACCTAAGCGAGAGGTCTGCTTGCGCTTAATTTCCACAAGCTTTGGAATGGGGTAGGGTCCGTAGCAATGAGTGAAAATGACGGATAGCTGCTGACTTATCACTTCGTTCTAAGCAAAAGGAAACAAACACAAGCAACATAAACTTAGTATTCAAAGGGAGACATTAGATTATTCTCAAGAGCTGTTTGTTTTGAAGCTGAAAAATATGACTGCTGCAACTTTATTAAAAACCAGAAGTTCGGTATTTATTATAAACCACTTGTTTGTTGCATCCCCTACAGGAAGCAGGTAAAATGGAACATCTGTTCCTTGGACCTTATTTTCCCAACAAACTCAAACGCCACCATGCCTTCCAAATAAGCCATGTTCCTTTGCCATTTCATTTCATTTTCAAACTTACTTCAGTGAAAAATACCTTTATGCTGCACCTTGGAAAATGGTCATTGCTCATGTTTTAGAAACAGCCAGCATACATTTCCAAGCACGACGTCCTCACATACAGCCCCTCCTTTACAGAATGACAGAAGCATCACAGAATGCCACTGAAGCTCCTCATTTAACCCCAGACATGTCATTAATATGATCTTATACCCCTGGCATTGGTTCTCTGAAGAGACCACCAGAACCTCACAGAATCAGATCCCCGGCTCTACCCAGACTAAACTTCAATGACAGTGAAATGAATTTAGTGCTTAACCACCTGAGTCACATCTGATAGCAGGATTCAAAAGTTCTTGCAGATTTTACCCCAATCTCTGCTGGTACTGGAACTCATCAAATTTGATGGAGCCACACAGCTAATTCCTGAAAATGAAGTATCTTGACTTTCAGCTACCATGTTGGTTGGCAATTCCCTTCCATACTGGGAAACCATGAAAAAATGAGATGCTTAGACGGTCCAAGACCAAGGAAGTAAGCAAGTAAGGAAGTAAAATTATAACAATATAAACAATAGAGGAGTTTAGATGTTATACTAAAAATATCTTCAGGCTTATTAAGCAGAAATTGAAGTCTTCCTTCTCTGAGCACATTTCAATTCAGTTCTAAAAGTAGAAATTCCTTAAATCCCACAAGGGATGAGGAGGAGTGGCAGAGATACTGTAATAACTCTTGCACCGTATCTAATTAAACAGGGTGGGAAAAGGAAACGAGCTGTGCCTTCATAGGCACACGCTGATGTCAAAGGAAATTACATGCACTCGCCTGCAGGCAGAAGTTGGCTCCCATTACTACATCAGACATAATATTGAAAAAAATATCGGGATAAGAGAGAGATACTAAGAAATACTGATACCAAGAGAGACCACTCAGCACGGCATGGGAGCAGCCACCAGTGAGGGCTCACTGTTGTGGCTCCAGGACAACGTGGATGCAGTGCCCCAGGAGCATCTCTGTTCAGCGTCAGCAAAGCTGGAGCTCTGCAAATCACTTCACAAAGGGAGTGAATCACAGGGAAAAAAGAAAAGGAAGATTTAAAGCCAGATTTACAGAAGGAAGTGACTCAGCCATTGGGAGGGATGCGGGGAAAGCTCTAGACAGACAGGGCAGAAAGAGCAATTGCTTCTCTGCTCGGAAGGGCTGTGCCGAAGCCGTGCTGGCTGAGTCAGCCAGGGAGGAGCATGTCCGGGGGGATGCCGATTACCAGGGTCTGAGCTGGAGGCAGCAGGCACTAAGATGTCAATAAATACAACACAGGATGAGGCTAATACCGTATTTTGGAGTGAAGGGAAGCTTCTGAAGAGGAGAGGTATAAGAGCAGTGCCTACTTACACATACATATACGTCAAAAAAGACAAAGCATCTCCTCCTCCCTTGGATGCCCGTGGGAACGCACTGATAATAGAACAGATATCAACCTCCCAGGGCCTCATTAGGAACCAGAGGTCTCACCCACTGCAGACCAGGAAGTCCAGGTGCATTGAGACTGGGAAGGAATGAGCCAGCCACAGCCATGCACGGTTGGGAAGAGGATCCACACTTGTAACTTGAACTGGCATGATGGACGAGTCACATGCAAACAAGCCTGGGGAACCTGTCAGTCTCCTCAGCACAAAATGGGTGATGAGCCCTGCCACAGCATGTGGACCCCAGCCCATTGTACAGCCACCTCACCACTGACTGCCCACAACCCCATTGAAAACTGGTCTAGATTAAGCTCTAATTAACTCAGAATAGGATACACTCACACAAAAGAGGCTTTAGAGCACTATGGTGCAGAACAAAGATGGAACAAAGGGAAAAATGACAAAGGAAAGGGAGACTAGGATCAGTGAGTCAAAGAAAACAGGGCTATCAAGCAGGCAGAGACAGTATGCATCATGGACCTTCAGAGCTCTCACACAGGACACTGCTTTCATTTGGCAGACAGGAGGCTGGAGACCTTTGGCTTCTGTTGATAGATTTAAGAAACACGCTCAGATAGAAAGACAAAGCATTTAAAGTCATCACTAACAAAATATAGCAAATTTTCTTCCAAAAAGACATGGAAAGGAAGAAAGAACAACTGCTCCCCATGCAAATCTGCACACAGCCAAGCCTCCTAGGGCCTTGGCCCTGGCCCTGCTTCCTGCAGCCTACTGGCATCTCCAATAAAGCAGGCAGAAAGAAACAGCAAGGAGGAGAGATAAAAGGGATGCTTCGTCAAGGGTACAGTCTGCAACAGCATTGCTGGGGAAAAAAAATCCTTGCTTTTCCAGAAGCCCAATGTTTTTTTTCTTGGAGCAAGTTGTGGTCGGCTGCCCGTGAAGCAACTGGAAACAACTACAGGAGACAACAACCTGGTACATCAGAATTACTCCAGCAAAGAAGATGACATTCCACCATATGTGCACCAATGTCAAGAAGCTCCAAAGCTGTCTTGTTTACTACATCCAACCCGCTTAAGCTCTGAACATTATTCTTTCCTGCTTATTCATCACCCTACCAGCTGATTGTGTAAGAACAGCTGTAGGAGCTCTCTGCAGCAGTTGTGGGTGGTGATATCAACACCAGAGAAGCAAACCTGTTTGTTTTCTTGCCACGGTTTGAAGTTAGAAAATATTTTGCCTTGATGCTTGATGCTTGATGCTCAGATCCAGATCAAGGCCAGCTTCCTCTCAGATATGAGCATGCATTTGCGAAGGGAGCTCCATGTGCATCTGCTTTTATGGGAGGGGGAAGAAAGCTTGGCACAAGATACAATGAAAATATTTACCTAGCCACAGGGTAGTTTACAAATAGGCTAAAGGGAACAGGGAACAACAGTGAATCTTCTTAAGGAGACAATGCTTCCAGCAGAGAGTTGGTTGGTGAGCAAGCAACTTTGCTTTGTAGATACATGCGGCCTCCTGACTTAAAAGCATTCTTCAGAGGAGATCTAACGGAATTCCCCACACTTGAACTGTGAAAGGAATTCATAAATTCTTTTGAAGCAAAGCTGAAGTTTTTCAAATTGCCAGAGCAGAGACAACTGAATGATCTGAGAGGAGGTAAAGAACTGGGTGGGGTATCTTTTCCTGAACGCCCTTCTGATGATGAAGGTCTGTCAGCACAACTCAAGAAAGGCTCCTCAAGACTTAGGCACAACCCATGGAAGAGTCTGCTTCATTTCTTCTGACTGGGTTCAAGCTGGCCTAGACATTCCGAAATGTCCTACAAGGTACTGGACACAGCTAGGACATACCAAGTAGTTTTCTCCAGTACCTGCAGAAGATAAGTGTCATCTTGGTGACTCGTGCTACAAAATCTCAAGAAGCAAAACCTAGGCTGGATTCAGAAGTCAGGCTAAGGATTTCCCTTTGCTTTTCCAGCAAGATCACACTTTCCTTTAGTTGCCTCTTCTTCATGGGTTTCCCCACTGATTCTCCCTGGGTCCCTCAAATCCCAGGCTAGGAATCCTGACTGGTCTAAGACACCTTGCTACCTCCACCTCAGTGCCTTCTACAGTGATAACAATTTAGGCTGCTCTTCTTTGCCAACTTAGCCCGAAAATGCCAGGCCCTTGAATTCCTCTACCACAAAGCCACAAAAACAAACACGTTGTTAAGCTGAAAAATAACACTCTCATTCTGGGCTCAGTGTTTGTCATTTAATACATATCTGCCCTGTAAGCAGAGAAAGCATGCTGCTCAGGGCACAGGGGTGCTGGCAAAGGTAACTTTTCTCTTGCTGGTCCTGAGGATGCTGGGAGAACCCAGCTCTCTGCTAAACACAGAGAAGCAGAACTGCTGCTTCCAGTCACCTGTTCTACATGTGGTCCCCAGACACTGTTCGAGCAGTGAAGTCTCAAGATGCCTCAGATCCACTGAGGAGTCATGCATGAACTTCCTTCCATAACAGGCTGGGATGCCTTTGAATTATTCCTCTACTTACCCTCCCCTCTTCCCATAAAGAGTCAATAAGTGCTAAGGCAATAGAAAGGGCTTTTCATGGACCTCCCAAGCTCAAGCACTCAAACTCTGCTACGAGACTTTGTTTGCCATCTCTCTGAATCTTTGTCATCCTTCCCTGGGTGCTTCCGCTACAGTCCTCAAGCATAATTCATTTTTTTACCAGCTGCATCCAAACTGATTAAATTCCGCTTTAGAGGGTCACTCCTAGATGATTAAACAGCACACACATAATTCATATTAGTCAACAGTTGCAAAGGTAGGGAAGCCCCAGAGGTTGAAGACACAGTTAGAGGCAATGAACTGCATAACAAAATGGGTTTTGTTAGTGCCGGGCTCAAGTCATTCCACTGCAAATACAAACGGAAAGGAATTAATCACAGGTAAGGCACAAATGGACCCTTCAGCTAGCTCTGGGAAAGCTGCCAAGTCTTCCTTTCAAAAGACTCTTTATATCACAGCTGTGCATTGTATGTAAAAAGCTGAGATCCCTGGGCACGGTCTAATCCCTGGGTGAGAGCCCATAACAGGGCAGGTGTCACATCCATGGCAGTTATTTATTGTCAATGAAGAAACGGCTCCTGCCTCTGGCAGGGAAACATTTTAGAAGGCAGACAGAGAGTAGGAAAAAAATAAATCAAACCTGTGTTAGTATGAAACTGAATTTGTGTTATGAAAACACAATACAGGGTTAATAGTTGGTTATTAAAATGCCACTTGGTACCTGGCGTTCACATCTCA